ATATCTTTATGTATCTGTATATTTCTATGACTAAGTCTATGTATATGTGTATCTTTATGTATCTGTATGTATATGTCTATGTTTGTCTATGTATATTTCGAATGGCTGGTGTGCATGTGTCTCTAATTGTTGTCATTCAATGGAAGATTAATCTCATGGAATTTAGAACATACAGGCCGTAGCTTAATTTCACTTTTTTCTGTGTTTATATATTTTTTTATTTTTTCTACTTCTTCATTATTGTGCGTGTGTGGCATGGTCTTGTCATTTTAATTTAATTCCGTTAAATCTGTTTTTATTTGTTTGTTTGTTTGTATGTTTGTTTGTTTGTTTGCTTGCTTGCTTGTTTGTTTGCGTTTGTTTGTTTTTGCTGTTTTGTAGGGAAAACTATTTTACTTTTATTAATTTGTTTATTTTTTTCACTAATAATTTTTAGTATGTCGTTCATTCATTAATTTGTTTGTTCATTTATTTTTGTAAAATTTTTCCTCGAGTAACATTTTTTCTCTCAAAATTTTGTCTATGTCCAGTTTAACTATTCAGCATTAAGTTTTTTTTTCTTCAAGGCAAAGAAAAGAAAACAATTTATTTCAAGTAAGCAAACCACAAATAAGTAAGAAAAAACACCAAAAAAAAACCACAGCGACAAACAAACTTTTGTATATATAAAACTACATAGACCAACAATACTACTTTGTATAAATACTAGTCTTATATACAAAGACATATATACTAACTATACTACATTGTATATATACAACTGAATATAATTACTATACTACATTGTAAATATACTACCTTACATCTATAGTAAATATACCTGTTGTATGTGTATACCAGTAGAGGAAGTTAAATAAACGACTGCGATGTGTTTGTCTTTTTTATTTTACTTCATTTCATTTGTATTGTTATGTTTCAGGGTTTTTTTGTATTTTTTTTTTCATCCAGCTTATATCAATCCTTTATTTGCATTGAGAAATGATTAAAGCTTATATATCTCGTGAAATTTGTTTGGTTTAAAAAAAAACAGAACAAAAAAAAGAAAATGGAAAAAAACCTATGTTTGTCAGCTGTCGATTTTTCTTCGTTAACAATTAAAAAAGAAATTAATCAGTATTTTAGCTTTATAAAAGTACATGCATACGTACGTACACACACACACACACACATATATATATATATACAGACACACACACACGCATACGCACACACGCATACGCACACACACACACACATGTGCGCGCACACACACAAACGCCTAGCGCTGATGTTAATTCATGTTTTCCGTGACATAATGAGCAATGCAGGTTTTAGTTTCAGTTGTTTTTTTTTGTATGTTTTGTATATTTTTTGTATATTTTTATGTTTGCTTTGCACGATTTTTTCATTTAGTCGATGTCTCGTGTTTTTCGTATGTACTTTTTGATACCTATTATGATGGTTTTGTGTGTTATGTATGTTCGCATTTTATGACTTTTGTATGTTTCTAGTATGTTTCTTGTATATTTCTTGTATGTTTTTGCAGCATTTTGTAGACAGCAATATACCTTTCACGCACTTATTAATACAGATATAATGTTTTCTTTCTTCATCTTCTTCCGACATCTTCTTCATTCACGGAAGCATTGCATTTCGTGCCAGAGATTTTGTGTATGGCACTAATTAGAAAACTTAATTAATTCTCAGTCCCGATACTTTTGGATTATAAATTAATAAATATGTACTTTTGCTTCTAAGTAAACATGCATAAGTACACATACATAAGTACACATACATAAGTATAAACATACACGCACGCACGCACGTACACATGCACACACACACACATACAAGTAAGCAAAGTAAGATGGGAATGATGAAAGAATGGGAAGAAGTGAAATCAAAGCACATGAAGATAATTAGAAAAAATGTCGAAAACAAAAAAATACTAAGCAGAAGAAAATGTCATTGAATTAGTGAGTGAATTATAGAGTGAATTAATGAATGATTGAATGAATGATTGAATGAATGATTGAATGAATGATTGAATGAATGATTGAATTAATAAATGAACAAATGAGAAAGGGAAGAAAGAAAAGAAGAAAGGAAGAAATGACGAAAGAATGAAGCGGATGATTGAATGCATGACTGAATGAATGAACGAATAAATAAATGAATGAACGAATGAACGAATAAATAAATAAAAAATGAATAAAAAATATAGAGATGGATCGGCAAACGAAAGCAAAATAAAGCGACGGAAAATTTGAAATTGGAAAGAAGGGTGGAGTGAGATTATGTACGATTGAAAGAAAATATGAGTGAGAGATGGGAAAAAGTGGAGGAATGAATGAAAGAACAAATAAATAAAGAAAGAAAGAAAGAAAGAAAGAAAGAAAGAAAGAAGAAAATGTAAAAATAGAGAAAAGGATGAAGCGAGATTATGTACGATTGAAAGAAAATATGAGTGAGAGAGTGAAAAGAGTGGAGGAATGAATAAAAGAACAAATGAATAAAAAAAAAGAAAGAAGAAAATGTAAAAATAGAGAGAAGGATGAAGCAAGGGAGCGGGGGTTTGAGGTGGAAGTAATTGATCTAATATAAGCTCCTTCTTTTCGCGAATTTGTCGTGGCAGCTGTTGTTTTACTGGCAAAAAACAGCATATACACACATTCACACGTGCACACACACATAAACCACACGCGTACAAACACTACCCACATGAACTCTACTGTACATCCAACTAACTACACACATTCATTCAAACAAACAAACAAACATACATACATACATATTTACACGCATACATATGTACATACATACATGTGTACATATGTATTAGTAGTTGTAGTAGCAGCGTTAGTAGTTGTAGTAAGAGTAGTAGTTGTGGTAGTAGTTGTGGTAGTAGTAGTAGTGGTAGTAGTGGCAGCTGAAAGTGTAATCAATATTACGGCGGTAACTGAATCCCTCATTCATTTATCACGCAGTATGAGGCACTATCAAATGTTTAATTAAGTTCTAATTTTAAAAAAATACTAGACAACTTCATATGTTACACCTAATGAGAATTTTGTTGCTTTCTCTTTCTTTGTCTCTCTTTTTCTTTCTCTTTCTCTCTTTTTCTCTCTCTCGCTCTTTCTTTCTCTCTCTATTCATTTCATTTTTCTTGTTTATGTGTCTATACTTGCGTGTCGTATGGGTTTCCTATAATATATGTATATATATTGTATATATGTATGTGTATGTATGCATGTGTGTTTTTGTGTATATGTGTATGAATATGTATATATGTATTTTTTGTTTGTATGTATGTATGTTTTTTTTTCTACTTTTTTGTATGGATGTATATACATACGTTAATTGTATGGACTGCTTTGTACATACATACATGTACATGTATGTTGCGTGTATATTGTTGCGAGCTGACACTACATGTGATGATATTTGTGACGGTTTGTTATGACGATGGTATGTTTGTCGACTGGTGTGTTGCGGTTGTTGTTACAATTTGTTGTCGTAAGTGTGTATGAATCTTTTTTGTATGCGTATGTTTGTACGTGTATGTGTATGAATATGTATGTATGTATATATGTATGTATTTTTTGTATGTACATGTGCGTGTCTGTATGCCTTTAGATATATACAATAAATGTATGTTTTACCATAGGTTTGTATCTTTTTTGTATGTATGTTTGTATGTGATTTTTGTATACATACATGTACGCTGTTGTGTCTACGTTGTGTTTTTGTCTTGTTTTATGGCGTTTTTCAAGATTTTTTCATTTTTATTTATTAACTTACCATCCGGCCATAAAATCAAAAGAAAAACTGTCCTATATATTTTATGGTCATTCATTCATTCATTCATTTATTCATTCATTCATTCATTCACTCATTTATTTATCTAATTATTCATTCATTTATTTGTTCATTCGTTCGTTCGTTCATTCATTCATTTTTTCATCTCTGAGCCGATCCATCTATCACATGATACTGCTGTCATGATTTATCTTTTGCTCAACCCCAATAAAAGAACATTCATCACGCTGGAATGCCTTTGTTTTGCTGTGTTTTGTTTTGTTTTGTTGTTTTGATTTGTTGTTTTGTCTTTGTTTTTATGTTTGTATATTGTTTAGTGTTTATTATCCCATTTGTTTTTTTCCATTCTGTTGTTGTTGTTGTTGTTTGTGTTGTTGATGATGGTGCTGTTATTGTTGTTGGGGATAATGCTGCTGTTGTTGTTGTTTTTGTTTTTCCTGAAAGTATTTATCTGCTTTTTGCATGTTTTTTGTTGTTGTTTTTTTCTATTTATACATTATTATTATTATTATTATTATTATCATTCTTATTATTATTATTATTTTTGTTGTTGTTGTTATTATTCTTATTTTTCTCGTCGCATGATATCTTATTCCGTCCCAAACTCGCAGTTGCTAAGCTTCCTACCATGTCATTCCAGAGTTACATTTATTATTATTGTTATTATTATTTATTTCATTATTATTATTACTTTTATTGTTGTTACTGTTGTTGTTATTGTTGTTTTCGTTGTTGTTGATAATGTGTTGTTGTTGTTGCTGTTGCTGTTTTCCTAGCATAAGGTTTTTATCTAATACAACTACAAATCTTATATACAAACAAACATACAAACAAACAAACAAACATACAAACATACAAACAAAAAACTTACAAACATACAAACAAACATACAAACAAACAAACAAACATACAAAACAATATCAGTTAACGTCAACACAACAAATTCATCAACTACACTAATATGACTATGACGAAAGCGAAAAATATTTTACGAAGCTATAAAACAACACTACAAAATTACAGATAATAGTAACAACAACATTATGACATCAACAAAAACAACAACAACATCATGACCTCAACAAAAAAAACGTCAAAAACAACAACATCAACAACAACAACAATAGCAACATCATCATGACATCAACAAAAACAACATCAAAAACAACATCATCAACAACAACAATAACAACAACAACATCATGACATCAACAACATCAAAAATAGCAACAACAACAACAGGTTTATCAGTGGTCATCGTCTTCACCATAGCAACAAGCGTTGGTTTGTGTGTGGCGTCCGTTGGCATATTGATGATCAAAAGGTAATTTATCTATTTATATTTTCATTTTATTTTATTTATTTAATAATTCTTTTGTTTTATTCTGTTTTTTTGTATATTTTTGTATTATTTTCTGCCATTGTTGATGGGAAGGGAAGTTGCTAGAGTTGACCCCATAGTAACAAATGAATGTTGATGTTGTTGTTTGCCATGTTAACGATTTCGTTAGTATTTTTGTTGTTAATGATGTTTTTTGTTGTGGTTGCTGATGTTGTTGTTGTCGTTATTGTTGGTGTTGTTGTTGTGCTATTGTTGTCGTTATTGTTGACGTTGTAATTGATGAGGTTATGTTGTTGATGTTGTTGTTGATGATTTTTTGTTTTAGTTGTTATTTGTTGTAATTTTTCACGAAAAATGGCTGGCATTGTTGATAATGTTGAAAAGTGAAAAGTTGAAAAGTTGCTTGCATCGTAAACTTTTGTTCAGAATTGAAAAAACATGTCAGGGAAGAAGAAAATATGCCAGTTTTTTTTAAATTATATAAAAAATTAAAATTTTTATTTAAACAAATTCCACCAAAAATCTTGTTTTTGTTGTTGTGTTGTTGTTGCTGCTGCTGCTGTTGTTGTTATTGTCATCGTTGTTGTTGTTGTTGTCGTCATTATTGTTGTTTTTGTTGTTGCTGCTGATAATAAAAGACTAAAAACCTAATAGCAAAATTTTTTCCTAAAGAATTGTTGAGTTGAGCTGTACGTTGTAGTAGAAATTTTTTTTTTAAAGAGTTTTGCAACAGTTCTATGGCTTGTTAAATAATGATCGTTGTTTGGTTTTTTTTGTTTTTGTTGTTTTTTTTTGTTTGTTTTTGTTTTGTATGTATTGCATGTTTGTATATTTGATTTAGAATTTGTATTATATTGTCATTTCGTTTTTTAAAAAAAACCAAAAAAAACCATTAAAATTTCACAACTCTGTTTTTCAAACAACAAAATCATGAAAATTTCATAATAACAGCCAAATCAACAGATAACAACAACAACATCATCAACAACAACAACAACAACGACATCACCAACAAAAACAACATCAACAACAACAACAATAGCAAGCAGCAGTTGCGAAATTTCGAAACAAATTTATTTCATTCGGCGATCAAATGCAGGCCATATCGGCGCGAAAAAATGTTGGTGACGACGACAACGACGATGATGATGATGACAAAATTAATGATGATGATGATATCATTGTTATTATTATTATTATTATTTTATTATCATCATCATTATCAGTAGCAGTAGTAAGAGTCGCAGTAGTAAATATGTAGTATAAGCACTTGCAGTAGTTGTAGTTGCATTGAGGAAAATTTGTTTATACTTTCGTACCTAGAAAAATAAAGCTCAACCCGTCGAGCCGAACGACGACGATGACGACGACGACGATGACGTCATCAACAAACAACACCATTCCCCGCCACAACGTCAACACTTCATACGAATATAACCTCAACAACAACAACAACACAAACCACAACATAAACATAGAGAACATAAACTTAAAAAGTAGCATAGATAACAACAACATTAACAACAACAACAACGACATAAACAACAGCATCAAAATGAGAACAATGTCAATAGGAACATCATCATCGATTCGTGATTTAGTGACAACCAATCGGAGCTCTCCAACTTATTTGCTGCAGACCATTCAAGGTTCGTCATCATCATCATCGTCTTCATCGTCATCGTCTTCATCGTCATCATCATCGTCATCATCATCGTCATCATCATCGTCATCATCATCGTCATCATCATCTTCATCGGAGACATCGTTCACGGCATTCTTGAGCTTTTGATTTTCTTTTAATTATGTGAGAAGATTGTTTAAGTTGAATGTGTTTCAGCTCTTGTAAACACACACACAAACACACATATGCATACACACCGATACACACACACATGTAAACAAACAAACAAACAACCATACATACATACATACATTCATACATACATACATACATACATACATACATACATACATACATACATACATACATACATACATACATACATACATACATACATACATACATACATACATACATACATACATACATACATACATATACATACATACATAAAAACAAAATGGACATAAAAAAATGTGTTCAATTATTAATTTAAACAACAACAGCCAACAACACAAAGACCAGAGCGTGTACATTAAACCGCAACATTGAGGAGAATTTTTTCAACAACTGCTGCAACAACAACGACGACAACAACAGTGTCACCATTTGTTGCAGCAACAACGACAATAATTTCGCAAGATGCAAGAGTATACAAAACCTCGTCTATGGCTCCAAACATCAGCAACAACAACAACATCAACAACAACATCAAAAACATCAACATCAACAACAACATCAACAACAACAACAACAGTTCGACGATGACTATTCTCCTGAAATTGTTTATTTCTGCTCGCCAGATTTTCTCTGCTCCATCCATCAGAGAAGAAAGAATGAAAACGAAAGGAGATATAGTGAAGAAGATAAAAGAGAGGATGAGGATGAGGATGAAAAAAAAGAAAAAGAGGAAGAGGATGGAGTGAAAGAAGAGGCAAATTTCAACGGCGAACGAAATGAGAATAGGCGAGTAAATTGCTTTGGTCAATCGTTTTGTTATGATAACGGCGGCAACAAAAACAACAACAACATCATCATCAACAACAACAACATCATCAATAACAACAACATCAACAACAACGACAACAACATCAACAACAACGACAACAACAGCAATGACATCACTAACAACAACATTAAAAGCGCCAACCACAGCATCAATAACATTACTAACAACAACATTAACAACAACAACAACAACAAAGACATGAGCGATATTATAGTTAACCTTCCACCGAGCGATAAACAGAACCATAAAAATTATAGCGCCGACTACAAAAAAACTAACTGTAATAACAACAACAATAATATTAATAATAACAACAACAACAAAATTAATAATAACTCCATTTTACAAAATTTACTCTGTATAGAGGGAAGTGATAATATTGCTTTTAACAGCAGCAGAAGCAGCAGTAGCAGCAATTTCAGAAACCACATCATCAACAACAACAGCAATAACAATAATAACAAGCGCGGCGCCAGCGATTCTACGGACATCAAGACAGTCGAAACGAATGATAAAAATGCCATCGCTCTGTCAACTTTCAAAAGAGAAACGACCCCTAAACTCATACAGGACGCTGAATTAACACAAAAAACCTTTCAACAGCATCATTTTCCGCCAAACGATCATCAACAACAACAACTGCAACAACAACAACAAACACTAAATCAACAACAACAACAAACACTAAATCAGCAACAACAACTGCAGCAACAACAACAAACACTTAATCAACAACAAAAACTGCAACAACAACAAACACTAACTCAGCAACAACAACAACTGCAACAACAACAAATACTACATCAGCAACTGCAGCTACAGAATCCGCATCTGAAACAGCAGCAGCTACTGCAACGTCCACAAACACGTCATCAACAGCAACAACATCAGCATCATCATCAATTCTCTCCCAAACAAATTCAACAACAACATTATCAATTTCATCCCATGCACGTTCTGTCACCTTCAACAATAATAACAACAACGACGACGACGATGACGTCACTCATCCCAACAACGCAACAACATCAGCAACAACAATCACGCCAAACTTATTCAACAATACGCCAAAACCAGCAACAAAAAAAACAACATCACAAATGTGACGATGACCAACAATCGCTAAGTCAACTCATGCATATCACAACCAAGCAAAACAGCAACATCATCAGCAGTACCATCAAAAATAACAACAACAGTAATAAACTCAATGATATCGTTAAAGATTGCCCCTGTCATATGCATTCGAGCCACCTATTGGTCAGTCGGACAGCCAATGAGAACAGGGGATTCATGAATATTAATGAAGCAATTTCAACGTCAGGTGCTCAAATTAAGACACCCCTAATAAGACCTGACATCTATCCATCCAACTGCGACTTTTAATTTAATTAGACTTTTAATTAAATTTTTTAAAATAAAATTCACAAATTTCCGTGTAAATATTTTTTTCCACATTTTTTTCGGTTAATTGCCAAAACAAATGATTGTCGGTCTGTTTGTACAATGTTTTGTGAAATATTGTGTCACATATACGTATCATAGATTTCGTTAAAACGTGTACTACCAGTTAAGAAAGAAATGTTTTTATTTATTTCATTTATTTATTTATATATTTTATTTATTTAATGTAAATTAGAATTGTACATTGAACTATCCCCAAGTCATGTGTGCCATCTAGTTTAAGTTTCTGATTCCCAAGGGCACGCATTTGAATATAATAAAAATTCGATTGAAAAATCATTTCGAGTTTATTAAAAGTTACAAAACCAGCGAGATATAATCGAGTGTCCATTCATTTAACATTAAAAACATACTCATCGCGTTAATAATGAAATTAACAAGTTAAATTACTTATATACGTACTTAATTAACTAATTAACTTAATTGAGGCTTAGTTATTTTTATAGTCTCTAGATAGAGACTTTTATACAAATTGAATAATGATTGTAACAGCTGAAACAAAAAGGCAAACACCTCACAGTCAACGTTTGAGTCAAGTGGTATAGTTCAATTACTGTGGTGTATTCAATGGAGCTAGAAGTTATTCGACGGCGCCACTTACGTAAAATTTGAGAACACACCTTACTGAACACTTCAGTCAATAACTAAATTTTATAGAGCGTAATTCCGGTAAAGTTCAAGTGTTCTACCAAAGAAAAGTTACGAGACACACCTTGTACTAGCATTTATGTGTAGGTGCGAGCTGTTTGTTGACTGACTGATGACATCATATCGGGAGATGTAAAATAAAGATATAACATTGGTAAACATTTATAAACATTTATAAAGCAGGGATACCTATATAGGACTCATTGATATATTTACTTTTATAGTTGTTTAAAGAAAATATCAGGACAATTAAACTTCACTTCCTCGTCTACAATACTACTATTAAATATTAATAGGTATAATGTTAGAGTCAGGGTTTATACATAATATGTGTATAGTTATTTAAATGTTAGTAAAAAAAAGTACTGATAAGATGTTTTGTGGTCAATGAGTCACTCTTTTGAGAGGAGGACAAGCTGAATTTTTTTTATAAAGATACGAAAATGATCAATTTTGCTTGCAAAACGTGCTTTATACGATTTATGTGTGAATGTATAACTTAAAAACTTTTAATAATAAAAGAGCAAACATCGAAATAGTAACAATAATAAAACAAAAAATTACAATAATAATAATAACATCCATAATGATGACAACTACTATTAAAGTTTCACATTTCAAACATCAGAAACTTACTACGCTGATATAAACGAGACCGAAATTATGAACATATACGTAAATATGACACAAAACCACAAAACCGTTTAATTAATCTTTCACTAAACCTAATTGAAGAAATTTTAATAATGGCATACATTACCTAATTATAATATTGTCTGTCTGGGAATTACCATAGAAGTGCATTGGCGCATGCGCGTGCAAAGAACATTAAGTAAACACAGCCAACGTACGCATATTAACAAGCGTATTGGCTAACCGCCATGTTGGACAGTGTAACGTATTAAATACAAATTAAATTTGATTGTCGAACTGCTCTTTTAAAATATCGGATTACATTTTTTCAAAGTTGAAACGATTTTGAGTCATTAATAATGAACTATTGATTGATTTGGCGAACTACAAAACGTCTTTTTGCTAGACTTTTGCTGGTTCAAAAGTTGGATTAGTCCATTCTTGTTGAAGGGGTGTGCAGGATGAGCAAGTTGTCTTTCCGTGCGCGGGCGCTTGACGCCAACAAGGCGATGCCGGTTTTTGTTGGGGACGAAATTCCGGCAGAACTTGACTTTGTGGCCGTCAATCGTGCCGTCATGGAAATGCCGACTGGTATGGAGAAAGACGAAGAATCTGTTAGTTGTTTACCCTTTTTTGTAATGGACTGCACAGTCAGTCGCCATATTGAATTTACTAAATTTATCGAAAATAATAGCAAAAATTCATTAATAAGTGGTCGTTTTTCATTGCAATTTGTTTTAAAATTTTCAAAATAAATATTAGAGTGCAAAACTGTTACGAAACCTGCACTTTATTCATGAAAAGATGTATCTGATGCATATATTTTATCACGTGATCTATTGCTCGGTGCTTTCCTAAGCAGTGAATTAATATTCATGATTAGGCAAACTTATTTTGTCCCAGCCCCCAGACGTAAGCGCTCGAAATACAAACATTGTCATTTATTAAATTGCAAACGAAACTGATTCACAAGAATTTCATTTTCCAATTTTCCAAAATTTATTATTTCCTGGTTGACCAGAAAATCTTTTGAAAACCAATGAAAATGTAAATTTTTCTATTTTACCATCACCAATTATTTTGTAATTATTTTTGTGTAAAATAGGAACACCATTTGCAAAGAGCATTATGTGCTCAACAAGCTTATGGAACTGCAGAAATGTTGGCCATCCCTGTGCCTGGGATGGAAGACGTTGGAGAGAGATTCATCAGACTATATGGGTCGAACAAGTCATTCAAAGTCCCAAAACAGTTTATACATGTTCAACGTTAGTGTTTTTTTGGGGTGGTAGATAAAATTTCATTAAGAATCCAATTTTTCTTATTTGTATGTAAAGATATTTTTGATTTGACTGCATAATTTTTGCATCTGTAATAATTTAATAATGTCTTTGCTGAGCTTTTGTTATCTGCCTTCTATTTCATTATCAGCTTTTATGAAAAAAGTTTAATGGCAAAGTTTGTCATAATTATGTGCAAATGTCTGACCATTGACAGCTGCCCTTGGGTTCGACATGGAGGTCCCTGATTATGACATGGATTCTGAGGATGAAGTTTGGCTAAACAAACAAGTAAAACAACTCAAGATGGATGTGCCTCCAATCAAATTTGAAAACATGATCGATCGGCTAGAGAAAGGAAGTGGGCAAACGGTTTGTCTTATCTTCAAAAAATTTATGTTCTTTTAAATTTGATTGTGCTTTGATGCATTTTAATTGATTTCAAAATAAATCTTCCCATTGATTATTGACAGATATAAAACTTTGTCAAAACAGATAGTAAACCTTCATGAAGCAAAAGCTTTATTGAAAGAAGATGATGATCTGATCATGGCTGTCTACGACTACTGGCTCAACAAACGTTTGAAAATGGTGAGATTCAAAGTCCGAATCAGTTTTCAAATTTCAGAAAGTGTCTTGATAAGGGTTGGGTGTATTTGTAATAAAATTTGACTGACAATTCTTCAGAAGGTGGCTTCATTGATACCTCAAGTGAAAACAGAAAGGAGGGATGGTCTGGCAACAAACAATCCCTACGTTGCATTCAGGAGAAGGACTGAAAAGATGCAGACTAGGAAGGTATACTGCAGAATATATATCTCTCTGTTTGATTTTCATTTCAACTACTTGTACAGTAACCAATTCACAGTTTTATCTTTTGTACAGTTTGAATTTAATTTTTCTTTATTTGTTATCTAGTTTTTGTTTGTTTTTCTTTTTCAGAATAGGAAGAATGATGAAGTTTCTTATGAAAAGATGCTCAAACTGAAGAAGGATCTCAAGAAAGCATTGTGAGTGTGTTTATTTGTGTGTGTGTTTGTGTTCTTGTGTGCTTTTGTGTGTATCTCTTTATAAAACTGGTAAACTGACAGATTAAAGTATGATAGTAATTTTTTTTCCAAAAAATAGATTGCTTTTAGAAGTTCTGAAGAGGAGAGAGAAAACTAAAAAAGAATTTTTAAAGTTGACTGTTGAAGTTATTGATAAGAGGTTGGTTAGTTTTATTTCCATATTGCTCTGTTCTGTTTCATTCTATTTAAAATTTGAAATGTTAGTTTTTTTTCTGTTAAGATATTCTCTTTTTTTATTACTTTTCATTAAATAATTTTACTCTGTTGATGATGCATGATGCAGTGTTGTGTAATATTTTTTGAAAAATTTAGTGAAAATTTTAATATAGTTAGCTGTAGCTTTTGTAGTTTTGCTTCATTTCTTTGATAGATTGTTTGATTAACTGACTTATTGATTGATTAATTGATTAATTGATTGATTGATTGTACCATTTCAAAAATATTACTGTATATATATATATATATATATATATATATATTAATGAAATTTTAAATATGTAGTAGAATAATGCAGGTGAATAATTAAGTAAAAATATTAAAATTCATCTCCGTCAATCACAGATACCAGATGCAGGATTGGGATGGTACCTTACTGGCCGAGGCAGAGGCCAAGAAGGACTCCATGCCGAGGTTCCTACCTCTTCAACCTATGCAGATACTGAAGGAGTGGTCGTCGTCGTCATCATCTCTATCCTGGGCTAATGTACATTTAATTTTTGTTACTTTTTGTATTCTCTGCCCGCGGTGTTTTATACAAGAGTGCTTCTTAAATGTAGCTTACTCTTTTGTAATAAACTTACAAGTTACATAAGATAGTGCTATATCTCGGATGGCTATAGTAAGAATAACTTATATTCACTGAATCTCAGGAACAGGCAAGAATATCGCAGAAGAAGAGGGAATATAAAAAAACGAAACACAAACATCACCACAACAACAACCATCTACAGCAGCAGCAGCAGCTTCATCATCATCAACAACAGCATCCTTCAACAATAGCATCCTCGTTGTCATCCACAGCACACGGTCGCTACAAGGTCTACCAAACTCCAGAATCCATCACACCGAATATCTCGCCTTACACGTCCTCTCACCTCCATCATCATCTCCATCGGCCGCCTCCTGGGCCCTCTGCCGATGATGATTATAACAATTTATCGGTTGGTTGTAGTTTCATTGATCGATTTGGATGTAGTCATTTGTGATTGGTTGTTTTATTTTTTTATCTCAAGAGCATTTTTTCATAATAGTATTAATGTCGTTTTTATAAACCTGCAGAGCTCATCAAATTCAGATCAGGATTATGACAATGATCCTGATGGTCCATACGCTTTCAGACGTAAGGCAGGCTGTTCGTATTTGCAGGTTTGTCTGGGGGATGGTGGTTTCTTTATCTACACGTTCATTGTTATTATTTTTAATTTATACCGTTTATTTTGTTAAATGCAGTTCAGTTCAACTTTGTTCCCTTTGAAAGAAAACATCAACAGCGAAAGCCTCAAAACGACATCAACCAGCACAGAATCATCGACGATATTTAAAAATAAAAGACCGCGACTTAGTGTTGAAAGTGACATTTACGATGACAGCAACAACAACATTGTTGATCCATTTAAATTTCTCAATAACAACGACAGTAGGCACAGTTTCTATTTGGCCTCTCTTTCGACGACAGCGCTCGACAACAAATCTTTTAATCGTTGCCTCGGTTACACCAGGCAGAGAGTTGGAAGAGGTGGAAGGTAGGATTTTGTTGGTGTTCTTGTCAATCTCTTTGTTGTTGCCGATGTATTCAAGTTTACCTAACTCTTTGCCATTGTAGACTCTGTCGTAGTTGGATTCAGAATTTGTTGTTGTTTATTCGCTTTGCTTTATTTTAATATCCATGTTAATTTTTATTGTGCTATTTTTGGTCGTCACATAATTATGATAATGCTACTATTACTACTACTACTGCTTCTAATAATAATATACTTAACTCTATTCTTCAGGATAATATTAGATCGAGTACGAACGAATTGGGATGCTGGCCTACACAGATTAGATCTTTCATCCAACAACTTCAGCGACAGCATCAGTAATAGTAACAACAATAACGACACAAATAATAATAATAATAATATCAACAACAATAATAATATTAATAATACAGATAATAATCTTAATGGTGATAATGCCAGTAGCTGTAATATCACAGAGGATGAAAATGTTCGAGAATTGAGTCGCATATTATCTTCTTACGTAACACATATCAGGTCTAATGGAATGTTAGTAGCCTTTTTAATTGAGTCATGGTTAGGGTCCAATTCATCTTGTTATGTGATTGGATGGTTGATCTGTCTTATCAGCGATTTAATGATTGGTTGATCTTGTTACCTTTACTTATTTCATTATTTTTTTGTATGGGCATCTGAATTTTTTCTAAACTAATTTGTAGTCAAAAATTTGAATTATAGCTCAGCTTAACAATAAAAAATTAGTTAATTAGATAATTTAATTTACTTTATTGATTGTTTTTCAACTCCGAAGATGCCACTACCAGCGAATAAATCTGCCTTCTTCGCTGCCACCATCTTCTACCTTCCTGCACCAGTTCAACAACGGCAGCAACATTTCTTCATCCTCTTCAATTTTTCCCTCCAACTTGTTCAATCCATCTAAGCAGTCCTCCCCAGAGCCAATGCAGGCAGACAGCTACAAGCGCCACGTCCAGTTACTCGTCTCCATACAGCAGCAGCAACAGAAGCAACAGTTTGATTCTGCAGCATTCGACGAAAACCAACTACTATCCTCTTCTTCATTCATGTTCAATCACACTCATAAAACACAGCCACAACAACATAATCAGCAACAACAACATCAGCAGCAGCAGCAACTACAACCAAACATATTACCTCCGTCAACAATTTCTACTGTCGATGGTACAACTAACTACCCTCCTGTCCTCTTGTCTCCGACTGCAGGAATTGCACTCGATTCGGAAACTGCTCAGTTTGCCATTTCTGCATTTAAGGAAGATCCAAGTGCAAACGCCAATAGAACTAGCATGATAACTACGCTCCTCCATCCACAATCTCTAAAGGCCGATGATCAGTCCATAGGCCTATCCACGCTACCTGCAGCCAGCATATTGCAACTTAATTATCCTCTACAGCAACAACAACAACAAATTATAACGACATCAACAGAGTCTTCAGAAGCAACGACAAGTCCGTCGTCTCTGCACAGCCTGCTAACGTCCGCAACGACATTTAAAAATAATTTTTCAGCATTTAATTTAAACGACACACAGACTACTACCATTTTACCAGCTATTAACAGCAACAACAATAACAACAACAGTTTATCAACGAAAGCCATCAACAATAGCATCAATAATAACATCAGCAGCACTAAACTCCCTACATTAACGTTATCCCTTCCACTGACATCAACGACAGCAATGACAGCAAACAACAACCAGCATATGGATAATGGCTTATTGCCACAGAGGAGAATTGTGGACAAATACACGTACACATACATCACCAACAGCAGTAATAACAACAACAACATCAATAACAACAGCCAGCAGCAGCAAGCAGCTGTTCAGGGACTGCTGCTGTCTAATGTAAATCTACAAAACAATTCTAAAGTTCAGCAGCTGTACAACAAAAATAAGCAGCAACAGCAAGTGCTACAGTTGCAGCAACAACAAATGCAACAACAATCTCAACAGCAGCAGCAACAACAACAGTCTCAACAGCAGCAACAACAATCTCAACAACTGCAGCAACAATCTCAACAGATGCAGCAGCAACAACTACAATTACAAGATCCACGTTACTTAAAAATAGCCACGCCATCTTCTGCTATTGAAACCCTACTACAGCAAGACTCAAAACAGCAGCTACAACAACAAAAACATCAACAACAACAGCAGAAACATCAGCAGCAGCAACAACAACAGCAGCAGCAGCAGTTGAAGAGTAGTTTTATGAAAAATGCACAACACGTCCTCATCAGATCAGCTAACATTCTTGGCTGCAATGCTGAGAAGCCAACTAGGTGATGATGATGGTAATGTGGATGATGCTGATGATGATGAATATTATTATTAATATTATTATTATTATTATTATTATTATTATAGTAATAACAATGATGATGCTTGTAGCAATGAGAATGGCAAGGGGTGCCAATGGCTAAAGTAGTGATAGTGATTGAATAATTTAGTTTTATCTTTTTTCAATTTGGAATTAACTTTTAATATTTGTTATTGCGATTAACTTTTAAAATATATGTAAAAAAATTTAAAATTCGTAAATATATATATCAATATTGTACCACCATTCAGAGAGAACTGTGAAACAGCGAAAAAAACAGACGACAAGAGTTACGTAATGGAGGTCACATGATAAATAATAACAATAATCCGTCTGCTGTCAATCATCATCGATCCATCGACAGACTAATTAACTAACTCATTAATCGGTTAATTGATTGACCCGTCTTTAATTAATCAACAAACCAATCAACTCACTAACTAATTAGTTATTTGATTGATCCATCTGCAATCTTTCAATTAATCAGTCAGTCAGGCAGTTAGTTAGTTAACCAACTAACTCATTAGCCGGTTATATGACTGATTGATCTTCCAACATTGATCTGTGGGTTGATTGACAAGTTGTTAATTGATTGGTTGGTTAATTGTTGATTGATTGATTGATTGATTGATTGATTGATTGATTGATTGGTTGGTTGGTTGGTTGGTTGGTTAATTGATTTTTCAAGAATTAGCTTATTCCTTTGGTTGGCATGTTTTTTCAATCACACACATTTACATTAGTTTATTCATTTATTCATTAACTTTATATTTAAAACAAGATGACTCTGTGATAGTTTTATATATATATATATATATATATATATATATATAAGAATGTTTAATATAACATAAGATTTACTTTGGATATATATATATATATATATATATATATATATATATATATATATATATATAATGCAGTTTTTTTTCATGTAGAAAACTGTTGCACAATTTTTTAGTTTGTTTGTTTTAACATTTGTTGATAATATTGATTATTATTATTATTATTATTATTATTATTATTATTATTATTATTATTATTATTATTATTATTATTGTATGACTCAATTGTGATTTTGTGTTTGTTTGTTTGTTAGTTTTTTTATCTCCTGTTTTATAGCTATTAATATTATTAATACAGCCACTACTAATTCTTTCATATTTTTA